TTCCCAAATATGAAGAGATTAAGTAAGAGTCTGTGGTCTTAAAGATGAAAGAAGTCAACTATGATGGCACACATCTATAATCCCAGTACTTTGGTGAAAAGATCAAGGCCAGCTTGGGCTACACAATGAGACCCTGTCTCAAAAATACCAATCAATCACTCAATCAATAATCAATAAAACAAAAATATGGAAGACACTGGGAAGACATTGCTAGCTATTAAACACCAGGAAGCATGCTTAGAATCTCCCTGAGCCTGATCATTCCAAGAGCTGATCAGGTTGATGTAGTTACTTCCATTTCATAGATGAGGAAGACAAATCTTGGAAAGTTAAGCACGTAGAAGTGGCAAGAGTAAGGTAGAAACACTCATATTTGTGATCTCAATATCCTTCAGAAGGCTTTTTCACTTTCCTGCCGACTTGCTCATAAAACCTGGGACAGGTCCTGAGGAGAGTTGTAGCTTCTTCAACCACAGAGGGTTTATACAGTGTTACAGCCCAGTGAGTTTAATCTTTACTTGTGCTGTAGATCCTTGGTTGAAGTATTGGAGAAGATGTTTCTTGAGGCTAGCAGGAGTGTCTTAGCCACTTGGAATTCCTATGACACATTAGGCTGTCTGTTAAGGTTCAGATAGCCCTGCCCCCTCACCAACAGGATCCCAAGGACTTCTCATGCTTCTGAGAAAAGGGAACCTAGCTGATAAGCACCTTGGCCTTTGAAGTCAAGAGAAGCAGACTTTTCTCCACTGTTTGGCCAACACAGCAGGCTTCCCCTTTGATCTCTAAAGAGGACAGGTTTTAACAGTCCTGCTCTCCCACCCCCCCCAACTTTAAAAAACATACATCTTCCTGCCTTCTGCAGGAAGCAGAAGCCTCCCTTTTAAAAAGACCCCAGCTCAAGACCCAGGCAGGCAGACATTTTCCCTGCCCGGAAGGGAATCTGCCCCACGTATTCCTTTGCTAATAAACCTTATTTTGATGGAGTTTTATCTGTGCCTTGATGCCTCATCATCCATTTGCTCATTCTCTGCCAACTTTTTACCTATCACTGTCTACTCATGCACTCCACTGCTTAGCGGTTGTTTATAGAGTACTTATTCCGCTCTATCCCAGGTACAAGATGCAAAAGTTTCAAAAGATAAACACTGTCCTTGCTCTCAGACAAGGTATTATTGTGTGAAACAGGACCACAAACAAGTAACCAAACCTTCTAGATTGTGTTTAGTAGGAAGAAATAAAGGGGATGCAGGAAAAGTGAATAACAGGGGTATCCACTTTAGAAAATGAGCTGTGATGTCTGCAAGAAAAAGCTACCTCTGTATTGATGTCCTGAGGATTACAAGGTAGCAACTATGTCCAGACAAAGTTCGGTGATTTATGTTCAAGACAGGCAGAAAAGCAAGTACAAAGGCCTTGAGATGGGAAAGAGCTTGAAACCTCTAGGAACTTGCTGAAAGCCAGTGTCACTAGGAGTCACAGAAGGCAAGAAATAAAGCAGGCAAGAGAAAGGGTTTTGTGTGTGTGTGTCTATGTGTGTGTGTGTGTGTGTGTGTGTGTGTGTAAGACTCTAAGAATTTATCCAGAGTACACTGGATAGACAAGGATAGAAAACTAAGCTTGTGGAATGATGAAATTAGCCATATATATATTTCGTACAAACATTCCAACAGCAGCAAATAGTGAGCATAGGTGCTTTATTAGAAAGGGGATGAGAAAGCTTCCTAAATTTCAAGAGGATGGAACAGGCCTGGCTACCCCTGACAGTGGGATGTGCATGGTCTCTGGTCAGATCAAGGCCCAAATGAGAACTAGTCAATCACAAAGTCATAGGAATGCCACACAGACCTGGCTGTAGGCCCAGGAACCATGCAGACAGCTGTACAAGATGAGGCTGTACATGAGTTAATTACAAAAGAGTTATATTTACCAAATCTGTACACACATTTGAAAAACTCACAAAATTGTCATCTATGTATCATAAGTTGCTAGACCAAAATATTTTTAAAAATGTGATAAAATTAGACATTTCTCTTTTCCATTCTTTTCAAGGATTAATATTTTAACAGCATGTATATATGCTACTTTCCATTAACAAAACTCATGTAAGAAACCAAGCAACCCAGTCTTCCCTGAGCCTCTAGAGGCCTTGGGCTGAGTGGCCAGGCCAGAGGACAGTGCCCAGCGTTGGGGCAAGAAGCTGGCCCACAGTGCACAACAGAATGCTGAAACATAACAAAAGGAGGAGGGTGTCTTTGGTGAACACTTTGGCATTAAATAAAAGAGGCAAACAAGATGGAAACATGCAGTCCTGCCAGCTAGGTTGGACCATGCGGGAGCACAGGTGACCTTGAAAGCCGGCTCCCAGAGCAATGGAAACCAAACATGGCAGGGAGCATGTGCACAAGAGAAACAGAAAAGGGAAGGTGGCCCATACTGGCCACAGTCAGCTCATCAAGTAACTAAAGTGGATGTAGTGCAAATGTTGCAAATGAGTACTATGGACACACTATATGCTTGCCTTTAGGGCCACAAGGCAATGTCAGGCCAAAGGCAGAAACCTGTCCTCATCCTGGGAGCCTGTGTCCCTCAATCACAGAAAGAGCCTGGGTTTCCCCATGTGCGCAGGACAGGCGTTATGTTCTACCTCATTACATGTTAGTTGAGAGGCCCTGGGTCCAGGTATCAAGGCTCAAAGTTTATGCTTCTCTACTGGCAACAGCAGACTTAGGACGATGGACAGAGGACTGTCCGGGTCCTTTGTGTCACAGCAGAGCACTCAGCCCAAATCTCACCTCGGAACTTCCCACAGCCTGTCAACACTGACAGAGAGCCCAAGACGACCCATGGGGTGGCACAGAGACCCACTGAGCTGGATGTGATGCACAGTTCCATGGGCAGAGGGAATAGGTGGTGATGTCTTAGGGGAGCTCTGCCGTTCTCAGATGGGCAACAGGCCTAGGGGAGCCACGTAGGGTCACTAAGGCAATGTGGTTGTTCTGCATGACCTCAGAGATCACCTGATGAAGACCAAAGCAGAATGTGGAGCCAAATGAGTTGGTGTTGCTTGGAGAGGAGGACCTGTGCAGGACAACAGGCTTCTCCACAGGGTGGCCCAGACCATCTGTATTTTCTCTCTTTATGGCTGATGGGATCTTGAACTTACAGCAGTGGTGTAAATGTTAAAATCATAATGCCTGGGGTAATTGGTATGTAGGACAAAATTCTTCACTTTGTATTTGCATGAAAGAGGATGTCCACCCCAACAATGAAATAGATTATAAAAAGTCATTTTGCATTTCTGAAATATGTCAGCCAATACATTTAATGAGATATAAACACTGTACTTAAAATAATATTAGGGCTAGGGAGATGGCTTAGTGGATAAAAGCACTTGTTATGTAAGCATGAGGACCTGAGTTCTCATTGTACTTAGTTGGAACTTGCTTATGAGGGGAAGGAAAATTAATTTTCATCTTATCTTCTGACTTATAGAAGACTGTGTGTGGAGTGCCAAGCATACTAAGAACATGTTGGCAGGAATCACCTAAATATACTGAGCGTTCAAATACCCAAATCTTGGCATCTGCTAATAAGCCAAGTCCACAACAAGCAGCAAGTAGACAAGGCAGCAACCCTGAGAGTCCAGTTCCATCTCGAAGAACAGCTACACTCTCAGCATACATATTTCCCAGGAAACAGCTCAGGGCCATCATGGGAACCTTGGTATCCTGTAGGCTGTTTCCACTATAAATATATATTCATTTTATAGTTGCTCCATGGGGTATCTGAAGAGAAGCTAGGCCATGGGCAAAATTGGGCTCATACTTGAGAGCCTCCATCCAGGAGTCTAACTGAAAAGAGAAAGACAGTCTTCTGAAGTTGATGTGGAACTCAGGTCCTCATGCTTATATAATAAGTACTTTTACCCATTGAGCCATCCCCATAGCTCTAATATTCTTTTAAATACAGTATTTACATCGCATTAAAATGTATTGGCTGGCATATTTCAGAAATAAATATGCTTAATATCACCTTGTTTAATTTAAAACTCTCACCTAAAAATACTTTCAGTGAAAACTCAGAACACAGTAAACTGAAAGATATTCTCCTTAATGTTTCTTCTGTTTTGTGTGTGTCCATGTTCAAGTGTGTGCATGTGCATGTGGAAGCCAGAATTCAACCTTGGGTATCATTCCTTGGGTGCTAAACACACGGCTTTGGTTTGGTTTGGTTTGGTTTGGTTTTTGGTTTTTTGAGACAGGATCTTCCTGTAGTCCCAGCTGGCCTAGAACTTGCTATGTAGAGCACCCTGGCCTTGATTTCATAGAGATCTGCCTGCCTCTTCCTCCTGAGTTCTGGATTAAAGGCGTGAGCCGCCATGTCCACCTGGACACTTCTGTTTTAGACTGTGTCTGTTACTTACCTGGAGCTCACTAAATAGGCTAGGCTGGCTGGCCAGTAAGCCCTGGATATCTACCCATTTCTGCCTCCTCAGTGCTGTGATTACAAGCCCATACCACTCCACCCAGTTCTTCTTAAATGGTTCTGGAGATCGAATTCAGGTCCTTGTGGTTATGTGGCAAGCACTTTACCAACTAAGCTATCTGCTCAACCCTTTTCTAATTTTTCATTAGCAGTTTTAAAATATGGTGGTCTCCAAGCTTTTCCTTTGGATCATGTGGTTAGAGCTATCAAACAGAGAAAAATGGTTACAATATTTGAGGCCTATACAAATTTGGTCAGAGGGACATAAAGGACAGTCTAATATTTATAATGCCCATTTCAACCCAATTGAGCAAGAAAAGTAGTGAAAGTATTAAACAAGGCATACAACCCAATGTGTGTGCATATGTGGACAAAGCATCCTAAACACAAATGAGGCTGCAAAGTGATGTAAGCATGGTTTACAGTTTAAAAGATGACAAAATGAAGAAATAACTTTGTATGAGAATTCCATGATATAAACTTCACAGTTTTGGGGTTATTTGCTTTGATTTCAGAATTACCGTTTCTGAAGATGGAAACCTCCGAATCATCAATGTGACTAAATCAGATGCTGGAAGTTACACCTGCATAGCCACTAACCATTTTGGAACTGCTAGCAGCACAGGAAACTTGATTGTGAAAGGTAATGCTAACTCAAAGAACTCATGGATTAATAATGTGTCTTCACTCCTAATAATTCAATCTATAGACATGGCATGATTCACATTAATATGTATAGATATCACTATGTTGCTAAATTAATTCATCACAGAACACCATGATATGATTAACAATTCTTCAAGAACTGTTAGTAATGAATATGATTGAAAGGCTATCTTATTTCAGGATCATCCAATACAATTTTGAGAAGTACAACCATTGTGACTATTATAGTATTCTAACTAATGTTATCTGCAGTCCTTTAATTAAATTTCTTTCAAGTCTCAATAGATTTGAAATTCATGTCTAGGAACCCTGCGCTAACAAATTAAAAATGTATGACTCAAGTACTATTTTTAGCAAACATTGTTTAAACAATGACATTGGCAATTTTAAAAAGAGCTGCCCTGGGTATTCAGAGATAGGATATGGCTTCTGCAAGTAATAAAGGGTTTTGATCACCTCTGGGCTTTACTTAAGCCACCCAGCCAACCCTGTCAGTTTTAAGGAAATCAAATTTCCCTCATCCCTTAGTCTGAATGCTTTATATTTCATGACTGAAAGTCCTTTATGCTCTTAGCCCGGTCTATAATGTGAAACCATCCCAACATCAGGTTGATGGCCCTGCTGGAAGAGTTGAGATTTGTGAAGGATGAGATCTTCATTTACATTTCATTTGAATGTCTATTGCCTCCCATGTTGCACAGTCAGTCCTACGATGTGTTTTTAATTTAAAAATATTTTATTAGCATTGCTCTCTTAAGAAGAAACGTGATTGCATTGAAAGACTTTGTATAGGTGGAAAGCTTGGAAAGGGAGGGAATGGCAAACTCACATTATAGGAACAGCGATGACAAATTTCACATTATTGTTGGAGCTTGATAGTACAGTTTTGTCAGTAAACAATATTCAGAAATCATAGTAGACATATAGAATTTCTAATTTATATTCTAAGATATATTTATTTTTTTTAGTTTGAGGATTATATTACTTTAGTTATTATGTTACTTTTTTTTTTTTAACTTCACAGACTGTGATTTTTTTTTTTTTTTATCTCTAAAAGTCAGGCAAACTGGGGCTACAAAGAGTAATAGAAAAATAATGGAAAACCTCTTGGTGCCTGGTAATTGGACAGGTCCAACCTCAAGGCCTTGAAACCCAGGACCATGTGGGGAGTAAGGACCACAGCTGGGCCTCAGGGAATGTGAGAGGTCCATCCCAGAGAATCAGTCCTTTCAAGTCCAGCATCTGAAAAAAACACGAGGCCTCCACAGTCACCAGCATAAGAGGCAAAGCCTCTGTCATGAACAACCTGGGACCTCAAAGGAGGGGGCTCTGGGAAATGTAGTCACTCAGGGAAGACGGAAACTGCTGCCCAACATCAGGAAGTCCTCCAAGCTCTACTCTGCCTCACCATTAGCCTACTGTGAGAGGAATGTGGAGCTCTGGCTCAGGTAGAGGTCCAAAGTTTTGGGTTCATGTGAGGGGACCACCACTCCAGGGTCACATGATAGAACCACAGCTGGAGCTCACAGGAGGAGACCACAGCTTGAGTTCACAGGAGCACATCACAACTCTGTCTCATGGGGGGGGCACCCCTCCAACTCCCAGGACAGATGGGACCACACTCCAAGCTCACAGGAGGGGACCACAGCTCCAAGCTTACAGGAGGGGACCACAGCTCCAAGCTCATAGGAGAAGACTGTTGCTTCAGATCCCAGGGCAGGACCACAGCACCTGCTCTTGGGAATGGGGGGTGGGGGGGAACCACCGCTCCAGGTTCACAGGAAGGCAGTTTTAGGACTTTTCAGTTGAAGGAATCTTGGTGCTACTTTGACTAATCACTCAATTTGGTGACTTGTTCGAGGCAATCATGAAAGGAAAAACTTAAACCCAGGAATCTGGATTCCAAGTTCTCTCTGGTTCTTTATACTACAGGGAAAGTGTAGCCCATCTTTTCTGTGGCTGTGCAGTATATGCTGACTGATAAGTCACATCGTACGCCTTCTGGCTTATTCGTAGCCTCCTCTCTGAAGTAAGACAGCCTAAGGCAAGCAAAAATATTCAAAAAGAATATTTACCTCAATTATAACAAGTATGAAAGCTAAAAATCACCTAATAATATATGCCAGGTTTGTTGGAAGGTGAAAGTGTGCTGCCATGTTAAAAAGTCTTTTTATCGTGAACATGCTCATTTGGGCAGATGAATAATGGGAAGTCAAAGACAGTTAGAGGCAAATCCATATTTAGATGGACTCCAACTATTTCAGTTTATTAATTATTCCCTAGAGCAACAGGTGTATGGCTGTAGGTTCACTGTATTTCAGAAAGCAAGGAAGGAAGATTGATAATATTTATAGAGCAGAATGCCAGCTACAGGCTTTTGGTAGTGTATGGTTCTCTCAGCTGCCAAAGGAGATTAGTGACTGACTAGGACCAAGAGGAGGCCCAAAGTTTCAGGATGGCTGGAAACAGAGCTGAGACTCTTTATAGATGATTCCCAGTTACGAGGATGTAAGAGAATGACTAGGACATTTTGTTACATCTTGATTGAGGACCAGAACAGAGTCAGAGATGTGGCTTAAATTTCATTTCTTCTACTTATCATCTCTATGACGGCCTTGGACAATACAAGTGGCCTCTGTGGAGATAATAGCCACGCTGACCTCATAGTGTGGCTTTAGCAGCTATGTCAGTCCATGTTATGTGATAAGCATGACTGCCTGGCACCTAGGAAGTAGTGGTAGTTGTTATTATTACTGTCATTATGGTTATTTATAGTACAATATAATGACTATGTGTGCATTCAAAGTCGTTGAGCACTTAATGAAGTTTCTACCCCAGTGAAATAATTAGAAAAGAAAAAAGAGGTGAAGGTTATAAATATATAAACATAGAAATCACATGTGTACCCTACTAGATGGCTGAAAGTGGGGTATTTTCACATGAAGAAACAAGTTGTATCTTGTCAATGATTCTGCTTCTTATAAGCACTGGCCTCTTTGGCTCTCAAGAGACTTAACAGAAAGAAAAATCTATTACTGCCTTCAGAGCTCGATCCCAGGGATCCCACCAGCAGGTAGACAAGGCCATCCCCACCCAGCTGGGCATCTCTCTGCTGCCGTCTTTCACTGCATCATGGTGGAAAGCTTATAAATACACCAGGACAAAGCACATCATGGTTACCTTGTATTCTGTGTAGATGTAAATATGGCTGAGATATTAACTTTATATCTATTTTAGAGAGATAGATGATGATAGATAGATAGATAGATGATAGATAGATAGATGATAGATACATAGATAGATACATAGATACATAGATAC